AGCCCTGGGACAAGCGGCAGCGTCACCCGCAAGAGACCACTGTGAAGCTGGTAGCTTATCCTTTCCGCGTCCACTGCATCGGGGAGCACAAACTCTCGCGCAAACATCTTGGTGAAGGCGCCCCGATCCTTGAGGATGCGACGCTCTTTTGCCTCGTGAGAGATCCCAACGATGGAGACGACTCGATGGAACTGAGAGCCCGAGACCTCCACCTTGACATCGCTGCTGCTCGTCACGCCCGGCATCTCCAAAAGGATGAGATACGAGTGCGGGAGGCGGCGCACATCTGTGAGCGTGGCAGCTACAACCGTGTCGGCTATGAAGCACTTGTGCGCGCTCATAGCGTGCTCTACCTCAACCGTGCTGTTGCCGCAGCCGCGCGCCTGGCGGAGAGAGCAGTAATCACGGCCGCACGCCTGCGCCGCGACAAGCACCAAGAATACCATCGCCGCCCTCGCTGCCGCCAGCGCCATTCTTCGCCCTTCTCTGCCCTAGCACCTGGACCAGGGGACTTATATACAAGAAAAGAAAAGGTATGAGCTCCCACGTGGAAGGATTCGATAGCTCAAGAATTCTGAGAAATGCTCTAATCAGGAGGTGTTTAGGAAACTTTATTAAAAACATAATTTAAATGAATGCCACCCAAAAGATATACTTAGTGCTATTCCTTTTTTGTAATTTAATTACTCTGGAATAAACTTGATGTTGCCCTAGAGCCTAGAGATGATCTGCGTGTCTGGAGAGATCCAAACTCTTGAAATTGGAGGCTTCGTAAACTTCTATTGACGTATTGTTGTCCCAAAGATGACGAGCTCTGAATCCTTGCAAGCTTGGAGCTGAAAATTGAAAATTCCTTGCCGATTTCCTGTGATTGAGCGTGAGAGAGGGAAAGATTACACGGAGGAACGCAACCTTTTGCCGGCGATGAGCAGGACGAAGCTTCCAGAGGAAGATCTTCCCAGCACGAATGGCGGGCGTCCATTAGAACAAATTGTTCTTCCAAGAAGGAATATGCAAAGATATTTGTCGGAATTTAGGGTTCTAGCGGGGGGTTTGGGCGGGAGGCTGTAGGCGCGAGACGATGGCCGAGCTCAGCCCGACGGTCGCAGATCTAGATGGCCACAAGAATCTATTCCGGGCTCTCTCCTCAGTCGCCATGCTCGCTTCTCGCTTCGCTCTAGAAATTCTCACTGCCAAAATGCAGATCCAAGATGGACAAGATCAAGGAGCCTGGCCGGCAGAGCAAGGATCTGGAGGAGCTGCGCCAGTGCAAGAGGTCGGTCTCGCTGCCTCCTGGCTGTGCTAGCTAGAGACGCTAAAGGATGAATGCAGGCTCATGAAGGAGTTTGATAGACAGATCAAGGAGGAGTCGAAGAACCCAGCGAAGCAGCTGAATGAAAAGAAGCAGTCACTGGTAAGAGATTTTGCGAGCGATCGATCTCATCGCCTCTTGCAGATCAAGGATCTCGACTCGTATGTGGCCCTGCGCAAAACGTGAGCATTCTTTCGCCATGCCGGTGTCGCACAAGTTCTTCCCTTTTTTCCTTGGTTCCACCCAGGTACACGAGCTCGCTGGGGAACAAAAAGGCGGAGTTGACGGAAGGTGGCAGTGCCGAAGGTGCTCGCACTGACCTCACGGATCCAAATGTCAAACCAGCAACCCATGGACGCTGGGAAGAAAACTATGGACGAGACGGATCAGAAGATTGAGCGCGTAAAAAAGGTCCGATCGACGCTCAAATGACAAGTTGGCATTCTTTTCTTCCGGGATACACTGGTGGAGGATCCTGTTTTGCAGCTTGCTACCGGTAGATGCATATTGTTCTTCTTGTTCCTGGGCGCCATTGCCGTGATCGTCGTCAAGGTAAAAGCCATTCTCTTGTTCTATCCAGGAGCTCTAAATTTTCAATGGCAGGTTGTTGATCCCAAGAAGAAGAACATCTGCGGCCTTCCCGGATTATCTCCCCTCGCGAACACCAGCCAGATTCTTTTCAACCGGCGGATATGGGAGTTTCTCTTCCTACTGTCCGAGTCCTTATGGCAAAGCAAAGGTCTGTATTATGTCTTATGATGATTGAATCTTATCAAAAAATTTGCTGTTTACAGGTGCAGGAGTTATCGTGCTTCTTGTGCTTTTGTCACAAGCTGAAGGGCACTTTGTGTCGCTCGATAATTCCTTCAGTTGCAAGACATGTACGAGCTCCGTGGTAATATTCAAGAGTATGGTAATGTGATTATTTGAGATTTTGTTGTAAGTGTTTGTTTTTTCAGGCCCACAAGTGACCCAAGCTTTGGCCGCTATACGAGATTTTGTTGCGGCTGCTAGCGCTGGCGAAAGATTGTTGTTTTACTTTTGTGGACACGGGACTCAATTCCCCGACAGAAACTTGGACGAGCTGGATGGAAACGACGAGGCTTTATGCTTCAACGACGGGGTTTGTTGATTTCATCGCTGTTTACAATTTCATTTTCTGTCTTTGTTACAGTACTTGGTAGATGACATACTTCATAACGTCATGGTCCAGTATCTCCATGAAGGCGTCCACCTGACTGCCATATTCGATTCCTGTCACAGCGGGACTGTGCTTGATCTTCCATATGGAAACACTGGATCTGGATGGTTTAACGCATCGTCCCAGACGCCGCCAGAGATATTACAAGCCGGAGTGTTTTTCAGAACGAGCGTGGTCTCAATTTCTGCATGCTTAGACTCTGAGTTATCATATTTTGTAAGTGCAGAGAAAGTTCCACATTTACTAATCTTGTGAAGTTTTCTTTTAGGACGAAGTCAATCAGAGGGGCTGGTTCACGAGCAATATGACGCACTACATACAAGAAGGTGCTACAACCTACGGGGCCATTCTAAGTGATATGCAGAATTATCATCCCAATTCTACCATGATGATCAGCTCTAGTTTCAAGTTTGACTTGACTAGAACACTTGATCTCTAGTTTCAGTGTAAGTATTTCCTTTGACGTGTTTCTCCATCTTGAGTTCTTTTGATTAGGAACAAGATCTTTTTGGGAATGCAAGCAATGCTGCTTGCAAAGAGCATGTGATTGACGGCGATAAAATACGAGACAAGAAAATTTTGACTTCAAGAAGGTTCTGGTTTTTCTCATTGATTTGCTTGCAGAAGAGCGAGGAAGCTGCTTGTCTCACCAGACAGTGCCCGGACTCAAGAAAGCACAGTAGCTACGATCGTTGCCGACTGATTTACCCGAGACGAAAGTATGAAGGGGCTGGACAATGTGCTGGACCAGTGCTTTTCTTCTGGCGAGGTCACTTATTCCACTCACCGATAAATTGCGATAAGTTTTTTCGAGCAGTGCAAATATTACAACGTAACTTTGTTTTTCTCGCAGGAGGTTGATTTGCTACCTTCTTGATTAGCGAAGAAAGAATGGAGAGTGGAAAAAGCCGGAGACGAAGTCCACGCTTCCTTCTGAGGATCAGCTCTAAAAGGTGAGAATCTGTTTCTACTTTAACTACTAGTTTTTTATGCGTTCTTTTGCAGTTCGTACCAGTTGCCAGCCTGAGAGATCCGGAGGATTGTGGACGGTCCTCCCAATCCAGCGCTCTCCTCACCCAAGCGCGACAGGGTCCTCTTCATCGAAAATTCCTGGTACTAAAGTATTTCACACAACTTATATCTGGTACTTGGCTTCCAAAGATTGCTCACATGTCGCATGAAATTCGTACTCCAATGAATGCCGTGATTGGCATGGACGCTGAAACGGACATAACGGATGAGCAACGCGAGTATGCTTCTACTACTCGCAGCAGTGGAGAGGTATTGCTGGGGATTATCAATGTTATCCTTGATTACAGGTAAGAAGCGGATCTAAATTCACGTCATGCTGAGCTTGGTTGCTCTCGTTCTATTGCAGCAAAATTGAAGCGGGTAACATGGAGCTTGACTTGCAACCTACAGAGATCCTGCAACGTGTTGAAGAATCATTTGATCTTGTCGCGAAGGGTCTTGAGTTGACTTAGGATTCTGTTCCTAGCCCTTTGCTCGGGGAGTCGGCTCGAATCCGCCAAATCCTGGTCAGTTACTTCTTGCAGCTTATTCGCATCTGACTCTAATTCTGCAGGTAAGTCTTCTTAGCAACGCTGTAAAATTCAACGAGAAAGGATACGTCACTGCAACCATGATTTTTACAGATCGAAGAACTGATGGAATATCTGCCTGCCCCAGATTTTCCGACCGGAGGACAAATTTTGGGGCCTCTTTCCTTCGGCCTTACAAGCTATAGTAACTCGCAGGATAGAGGACGCATTAGAACAGGCCGCGGAAAGATTACAGGTAGAGGCAAAGCAGATCTCGCATCATAAAAAAAAAGTAGAAGTGAGTGAGACCCGTGTCCTCGTTCTCTCAAATAAGTGGGAACTTACCAACTATGAAATTACTGAGGTTCGACTTGTAATATATTATTAAGATGATGATTTTAGATTTGGCCTTGGTTTTGCAGATTCCAAATAAGTCTACTTTGGTTGCGAAGATTGCCGAACTTGTAGCAGCAAGGTGCGCCTCAGGCGTTTCAGATAATATAATATATTATTTTTCTGTGCGTGATTGAGCAGGAATGAGGATTGTCATCGAGGTAATTGTGATCAAATGGCTCGGCGTCCTTTGAGTTGGCTGGTTTCTATATGTGCATGCAGCTCAAAAGAGGCCCTGTGGCAGTTATTGTTCTGAATTATATTGTGTTAGTATTCTTAACAAGGAGCCTGAATTGTTTAGTATCAAGAAATCAAGAACTCCCGGGGGCATCTCCCGGTGCCAAACCCCCTCCATGACGAGCACCGGGTACTCCAAGGGAAATCTTCCAGGAACCCCTGCAGCTCGGAAAACACCCGAGCACTCGAGAAGCTCAATCCCAGTGTTGATCCATCGCCGCCTCCCGTTGATCGATCCTGGCTAACCCGCTCCATATACTCCTCCAGCAAGCGGGGGGGATCGAAGCTGATCACATCTCCAAGGCCAGTTCGCCAGTGACGAGAATCCCAGGGGGATCGTTGTAGATATATTCATGTACAAAACGTAGTAGCTAACCAGAAAATAAAGGAGGCGATGGTAGAAAGCCAGAAACTAAAAGGAAAAAAGCTGGCATCGATCGATTCGATCCATCGATGGGAAGAGGAAGCTTATCCCGGCACCCGACGACCGGTCTCGAGCTCGTCAATCCTTTTGCACAGGGCTCCAACGGTGATCTTGTGCTCCTTCTCCTGAGTGCTCATCATGTCCCGCAGCTCCTTCATCTCCTTGAGGAACAGGGTGCTCATCTCCTCGTTCTTCTGCACGAGCGTGGAGTTCTGGAGCTCCAGGCTCGCCACCCTGCTGCTGAGCTTCCCATTCTCCTGCTCCAGGCTCGCCACCCTGCTGCTGAGCTTCCCATTCTCCTGCTCCAGGGTCGCCACCCTGCTCCTGAGCTTCCCATTCTCCTGGTCCAGGCTCACCACCCTGCTGCTAAGCTCCCCTATCTGCTTCTCCAGGCCCACGATCGTCATCTCATCAGTCACTTTCTCCACCTTCTTTCTCTCCAGGTCCTTCTGGAGGGATTTCTTCTGCTTTGTGTCATTGTCCCGGTAGCGCCTCTCCGCATTGTAGAGCTCTAGCTTCTCCATGACCTTCTCCTGGAGGAGAAGCTTTTCGGCTTCGTGCTCGGCTTGCTGGAGGAGAAGCTGCTTGTCAACCTCCTGCTGGACAAGCTCGCTCTGCTTGTCCAGCAGATCTCGCTGCTCCCGGAGGAGCTTCTTGTGCGTGTCCAGCTCCTCCCGCTTCTCTCGCAGCTGGCGCTGGAGGCTGTCGATGTGGCTCACCAGCTGGTCATGCCTCTTCTTCGCCACCTTCGCAGCCTCCTCCTCCTGCTTCCTCGCCTCCTTCTGAGCCGCCTCCCTGATCTTCATCTGCTGCTGCTCGGCCTCCCTGATCATCACCTGCTGCTTCTCGGACTCCGCCTTCCCCTTTAGCTCCTCCTGCGCGGCAAGCAGCTGGTACTTCAGCTGATTCTTCTCGCTCTGCAGCCGCCCCAGCTGCTCCTGCTGCGGATTCAGCATCACAGCTCTGGCCATCGCCACACCCTTCTGCCTCGCCGTTTCCTCCTGGGACCAGAACCACATACCTTCCGGATGGCTCACAAAGTCCTCCTTGGACAGCCCCGTCGCTTCCAGGAACTGAGAGATCCCCTTCTCAACGCTCTCATCGAAGGCTGCCTGCGCCAGCACTCCACCGCTGTAGTGGATAGTGTAGACCAGATCCGGCTCAGCGAAGTGGATCGTCACTGTGACCTAGCGGGAAACCCTTCTCCTCTAGCTGAGCCTGAGAGAGAGATCATTACCTGATCATCGCCGCCGCTTGAATCCTTGTTCGGATCCTCCATCTCCTTCTCGTTCTTCTGCTGCTTCCGGAGAAAAACCCTGAATTTTTACTCTTTTATTGAGCCCAGATCGCAGACACGTAGGCTGTCCAGTTGTCGGCGGCCACATGGAGATGCGGGCGAATATTCCTTTCTCTGGAAGAATTAGGGTTCCTGGAGCTTGAGTGTCGCGGGGAGGGGGGAGATGAGCATAGTCCACAACTCATGGCGCCAGCAGCATCCCAGGATCATCATCGCATGAGCCGGAGCTTCTCCTACGATGTGCTGCTCCGCGATGTTTCCGGTTTAGGGTTTAGGGTTTAGGGTCTCCCACCCGCTCCAGCTCCGAGCTGAGCCCGCCGGAGATCGAGGAGGCCACTGTTCACTCCAATGGCGGCCTCCATCACCGCCCGAGGCTTGATCTCCCACCGGCAGAAAGCAAGAGCTCTTCAGAGCCCGCCAATGGATCTCTTCTTCTGGTGGACGAAGACACATGCAGCTCCCGGGTTGAAGACCCGGCTACCTCAGTCGTTCATCACACCTCTGGCGGAGAAGCCCGCTTCTCCGCCAACATACCTCGGTTATCAACTTTGAACCCGATGGTGAAACCGAACCGGGTTCACAGAAGAAGCTCGAGAACGAGGCTGACAAACCTTTCCCGGGTCTTCCACCAGCTTTTGATCCCACCAGTGGAGCTCACTGGAGACAACTTATGAATGCCGGCAATGAGTGTAAGTATGTTGCGACATTTTTTGTTTTCTTCAGGATATAATTCTTTTTATTTTTTGAAATATTTCAGACATGGAACTGGATTTTTCTCCGGTTCAACATGTGATGGACGAGCTCACTGATGGAGCTGCTCTGCAAATTACGACAAGAACCGGAAGCGAACAAAGCCGGGAGCGCGGGTACAATGTCTTGTGCAATGTTCCCTGGCGCTGCGAGCTGGTCAGTTTTATGGGTTTTTTTTCCAGTTTTATTTTGTTTGGTTGCATTCGGTTTGAATTTATTCACTTTGTTCTTGTTTTTTCTTACTCAGCTTGTTTCTTTGTCTGCCTAGACTCTTTCTTGTCACTCTTAACTGTGACTCCATTGCGGCTCCTGATGGTTTTACCGAACCGTGTAAGGTGATTTTACATCTTTTATACATTCATTTTTATTGATATATTTCTGATTAGGAACTTCCGGACAGTCGGACCCAGTGACTGGTGCGACTTATGTTGTTTGATCATATTAATCGCCGGAGGGAAGGCTCTTCAGCAAGCTGGTGAGCTCCTCAATCATTTTTCGCTGCTCAAATTCATTTATTCAAATTTTTTTATGTGTGTGTATGAGTTCCAGAGATCAGGTACATCTATCACTCTATCAGATTCGCAAACATCAAGCTCTATGTGATCTACAACATGCTCGAGGTCTGGCTTTTTAATCATTTATTTTTTTCAATACGTTTATTCTTCTAGTTTTCACAATCATTCGCTGAATGTTTTCTGTATACTGCAGGTGTTTGACAAGCTTTTCCAATCATTTGGAGTCGAGGTTCTCTTCAGATCAGCAGTGAGCTGCACAGAAGGCTTCGGATTTTTTTAAGGCTTTTCTTCGATCAGAGCATCGCCATCGGATGCTTCATTATCCTTTTTCTTTTATTTTTTATCTTTATTTTATTTATTAATTAGTTTTTTATCCTTAACTTCTACACACTTGTGCACTCGTTCATCATCATGTTTGAAGGAATAACTCTGGCCGCGGCCCTCCACCATGCGGCTACAAATTGTTCATGCTCTTAATGTCGACTACGACTACATTTCAGGATACTACGACTAAATCACCTTCCTTGGAGTTGATCGTTGGAAGCAGCTCGAAACAGCAGGTGATCACCAGCTTATGGAGTGAGGAGACTTCTGGCAAACTCCGGAGCTGAAACATCGTTGCATCGAGATGATCAATGAAACGAGTACCGTTATTCCTCAGCGTGATCTACTTCCACCAGCATCTCTTCAACAACTCCCAGACAGGTTAAAAGAGTTCGAGCTTCTTTGGAGCATCCAGTGAATGAAAGCCTCTGAATCAAAATCTCAAGCACCTGAGTTTGGCTGTACTTGTTAGACTCTCCCTTGGAAGTTTGAAAGGTCCAACGTACACAGCGACCTGCTATGTTGGCTAGAAGCACAGCTTCATTTTTTCAAGACTCAAAGCTTCAAGTACTCTAGATTTGCCGACAGAGGACGATCAATTGAAGATCTTTGTTGTTCATAACCTCGAGGCTCTTCAGGGAATGCGACCGGATGCTGAGCTTATCAGTATCAATCCAGAGCTCGGTGAGGTTGGGGGTATCCAAAGTCACCTTGCCAGTTGTGGTTGATGGAGTTGAACTTTTAGCAACCAGTTGATGTAATAAGAAGTAAGACGCTGTTTCAGTTTCAGTAGCACCTGTGTTCTGGGCAAGCCAGGATGGGAAAGGGCCCTCTGTATCAACGGCCCTCATTGTCGAAGGTATAGATTAATTAACCACGATGTAAATCTTTGTAAACTCTCATTCCATGTACTAAAATTAAATGCCTGAAATATCCAATTCTCTCTAAAAAAAACTCACACCTTGATAACTTTGAGTAGAGTTTGTTGTCCCTCAAAAGTTGTAAAACACTTCATACTATGTTCCTCCACTGAAGAGTTGAATACTAGAATATCATCAAAATAATATTGAAATCAAATGCTTGAAATATCCAATTTTCTCTAAAAAAAACTCACACTTTGATAATTTTGAGTAGAGTTTGTTATCCCTCAAAAGTTGTAAAACATTTCATACCATGTTCCTCCACTGAAAAGTTAAATACTAGAATATCATCAAAATAATTAATTGTAAATTTTCCTAAATAAGGGTATAAAACTTAATTCATCAATCTTTGAAAAGTTATAGAAGCATTTGTCAAACTAAACAACATCCATAATGACTTATCCTTGTCTAAAATGTAATTTTCAAACCATCCTTTGGCTTGAGGTTGGATCTGATAGTTCCCTCAAGCTGCATTAACTAGAAGAGCGAGATGGCCGAGCTTTGATGCCCTGCAAGCACATGGTTCTTGGCCATGGCCTCAAAAGTTCTCTCATCATCAAGAGGAAATCCTGGAAGCATATTCAAAGAGCAAGCTTTTAATGTTTCTTAGGTCTGCAATAACGCAATAAATATTGTAGTTTCTCTCATAACCTTTTATAGAATTAAAAAGCAGCATTTTAAATGTGATATTGATTATGATGAATACACTCTGACATGCTTTAACGCTTTATTCCATAGGCCCGCTATACTTTGCCCAAGGCTTGGAACATGTTTGGGTAGCGTCACCTTGAGAAGCCCATCACTAAGGTGATATGTTGCCACATCCTGCACAACACCGCGGGGGAAGTAAAGCCTGCGAGCAAACACTTTGGTGCTCGCTTCTCCCCGCTCTACTCTCACCGCTTCTCCGCCATCATCTTCGTCTCGGGCAACGCCAGTGATCTCGAGCACAAAGCCCGACTTGTCCTCCACCCAAGCGATGTCCACGGTGGCCGACTGCGCGCCTGGCATCTCCGCGACGACCACGTACGAGCCTGGACGATCCAAGATGTCCACCAATGGGGAGATGGTGACGACGCTTGAGTCGCCACCACAATCATCTGCGTCGTTGGAGGCGAGAGCTTCAGGCCGAATGATCCCGGCCGCGTCTGAAATGGTGCACGAGGCCGGAGGAACACGCGCGGCAGGCACCGCAAGGTACTCCTCCTCCACAACTCGCTGTTCTCGCTGCTCTCGCCCTGTTTGCTCCAGCCCTGGGACAAGCGGCAGCGTCACCCGCAAGAGACCACTGTGAAGCTGGTAGCTTATCCTTTCCGTGTCCACTGCATCGGAGCACAAACTCTCGCGCAAACATCTTGGTGAAGGCACCACGATCCCTGAGGACGCGACGCTCTGTCGCCTCGTGAGAGATCCCAACGATGGACACGACTCGATGGAAATGAGAGCGCGAGACCTCCACCTTGACATCGCTGCTGCTCGTCACGCCCGGCATCTCCAAAAGGATGAGATACGAGTTGGGGAGGCGGCGCACATCTGTGAGCGTGGCAGCTGCAACCGTGTCGGCTATGAAGCACTTGTGCGCGCTCATAGCGTGCTCTACCTCAACCGTGCTGTTGCCGCAGCCGCGCGCCTGGCGGAGAGAGCAGTAATCACGGTCGCACGCCTGCGCCGCGACAAGCACCAAGAATACCATCGCCGCCCTCGCTGCCGCCATCGCCATTCTTCGCCCTTCTCTGCACCAGGGACTTATATACAAGAAAAGAAAAGGTATGAGTTCCCACGTGGAATTCTTACATGCCATGCGTGGGCTGATGGCGTACATAAGCGAAGTGAGGAAGTAGTAAGCCACGGCGATGTGTTGAACGAGGAAGCGATCAAACCATCGGATGGAGCTCATTCCAGCTCTCAGCGAAATGTACTTTGAGATAGTCTGCTCGTCTCCACCACCCGAAACTCTCGTACATGTGAAGAACAAAGAGAACCACGAAAAAAATATATACCAAAGGAACATTTCGAGAAGGTCGTAGTCACGATCAGCAGTCGATCCAAAATTGGTATCACAAAATCCTGAAGAAAAGGAACGATCGATCGATCGATCGATCGATCGATCGATCACAGGAAACAAGTAGAAGAAAAAGGACCGTGGGAGGAGTATGTACCGTTTAAACCCTTGCTCCGCTCGGGCTTGCTTGAGCTCGATGAGCTCGAGCTGCTTGCCAATCGGCTCCTGCGACGCTGGCGCTGGCGGATTTGGCTTCTCGGTCAGCAATGTCGCCGAAATCCTTCTGTGATTGAGCGTGAGAGAGGGAAAGATTACACGGAGGAACGCAACCTTTTGCCAAGGTAGAACTTGCTCGACCTGGACGAAGCTGCCAGAGGAAGATCTTCCCAGCGCGAATGGCGGGCGTTCTTCCAAGAAGGAATATTTGTTGGAATTTAGGGTTTTAGCGGGGGTTTGGGCGGGAGGGCTGTAGGCGCGAGACGATGGCCGAGCTCAGCCCGACGATCGCAGATCTAGATGGCCACAAGGATCTCTTCCGGGCTCTCTCGTCAGTCGCCATGCTCGCTTCGCTATAGAAATTCTCTAGAAATTCTCACTGCCAAAATGCAGATCCAAGATGGACAAGATCAAGGAGCCTGGCCGGCAGAGCAAGGATCTGGAGGGGCTGCGCGAGTGCAAGAGGTCGGTCTCGCTGCCTCCTGGCTGTGCTAGCTAGAGACGCTAAAGGGTCAATGTAGGCTCATGAAGGAGTTTAGGGAGATCAAGGAGGAGGAGTCGATGAATCCACCGGATTTGACGAAGCAGCTGAATGAAAAGGAGCAGTCACTGGTAAGTTCCAGGCCAGGAGATTTTGCGAGCGCTAGGATGGTGTCTCTTGCAGGTGGCCCTGCGCAAAACGTGAGTTCTTGTGTATGCATTCCTTCGCCATGCCGGTGTCTCACAAGTTCTTCTCTTTTTCCTTGGTTTCGCCCAGGTACACGAGCTCGCTGGGGAACAAAAGGTCGCAGTTGAGGGAAGGTGGCGAATGTGCTCGCACTGACCTCACGGATCCAAACTTAAAGATGGTGTCCTGTAAGTCGCGACTTGTCTCGCTTGATTCTCTAAGCTCTTTGCTCTTCGTTTTTGTAGCAATGTCAAACCAGCAACTCATGGACGCTGGGAAGAAAACTATGGACGAGACGGATCAGAAGATTGAGCGCGTGAAAAAAGGTCCGATCGACGCTCAAATGACAAGTTGGCATTCTTTTCTTCCGGGATACACTGGTGGAGGATCCTGTTTTGCAGCTTGCTACCAGTAGATCCATATTCAAGCTCTATGTTGAGATCTCAATTTCGAAGGAGCCATAGAGATTTGCACCGCTTGAATTCTTTCAATTGCAAGCTCCGCCATGGCCAAAACTCTAGAAAAATAGTTGCATCGTGAAACGATCCAGATCGAGACAGACCCTAGAACCAAGAACAGAAAGATTGATTAATTTAGAACGATTGAGATCCAGACGAGGATCCAGACATTTATAGGATGATACATGGCCACACATACATTGTGGCAATGGGATTCTCCGCCTCTGGCTCTGGCTCCATCTCCGTCTCTGCCTCTGGCTCTGGCGCTGGATCGTCGTGCTCCTGAGGAGATTTGTTCTGTCCAAGGAAAGAATCATTCAAAGCAAAGAAAGAGATTCTTGCACCTCAGTCTAGCGGTTGAGGTTGTGATCAAGCCGCTTTTCCTTGACGAACGTGAGGCGGCGTGGATCCTGCTTTGGCATTCTCCTTTAACCCGCTTTGTTGTTCATCGCCTTCTCTTTCTCCGCCATCGCGCTCCGTTGCTTCCCCGCCCAAGGGGTAAAAAAAAGGAATATGCTCTTTTTTTCAAATTGCCATTTCCTTTTAACGCATTGAGTGTAATCATTCAATCTCTCGAAACTTCCTTTTTTTAGTATTTTTCATGATCACCAAGTTGTCCGGTCTTTTTCGAGAGGCAACTTTGTGAGAGATCAAATGCCGAAGTGAGCCAGTGTTATGCCCAACCGAGCAGGGAATCTATCCCTGGCAAAGCATCTTGGTTTATATAGTGAATATTCATAAGTAACAAAATTAACTACCTAAATATAAATTTTAGTTTTAGTTGGTAGTTTTATTTTAGATAATTTATTTTTATAGAATATATTTAAATGAAAAAAATTCATTTCAAAGTCACGGTAAGAAAAATATACTATAAAATATTAACTTGTTAGAAAAATTAAGAATTTTATTCTCATAAAAAATGAAATATATTTATTTAATAATCACTATGTTTAATCCATCATTTCGTTTATATTTATGTATGCACTTGATCTACTTAATATTAAATGTCCCTTTTTTTATAGTCTATGAATAATAGAAATATTTTTATATATCATTTTTCTATTTATGTAATTACAAAAATATAATATTTCAAAAAAGTTACTTATTTAAAATTTTTTAAATAATGATACTTTTTAAGTTTGAGCTAATGAAAAACTTGATAAAATTATGTTTGTTAAGTTTTAGTGATAAGTAAAGGTGAAAATTATATAAAGCAACTTTTTTTTGTAAGATTCTGCATTTGTATCAAATTGAATTCAGTAGTATTTCAACCGTGAAATTTCACTCCAATCAATCCATCAATGATCAAAATAGTCATTCAACAACCAAAAAAGCAAACAAAACCAATAGCTGTTTTTTATTTTCTTTTTACTCAGTCCAGCATTTGAGGTTGTGATCAAGCCACTTCTCTTTGAAGAACGTGAGGCGGCGTGGATCCTGCTTTGGCGTTCTCCTCTTGCTTGCCTTATTATTCATCGCCTTCTCTTTCTCCACCATTGCGCTCCGCTGCTTTCCCGCCCAAGGGCTAAAAAAAAAGGAATATGCTCTTTTTTTTAAATTGCCATTTCCTTTTAACGCATCGAGTGTAATCATTCAATTTCTCGAAACTTCCTTTTTTTAGTATTTTTCATGATCACCAGGCTGTTCGGTCTTTTTCGAGAGGCAACTTTGCGAGAGATCGAATGCCAAAGTGGGACACCATGTACTTGGCAACTGTAATCCAGTGTTATGCCTGACCGAGCAGGGAATCTATCCCTAGCAAAGCATCTTGGTTTATATAGTGAATATTCATAAGTAACAAAATTAACTACCTAAATATAAATTTTAGTTTTAGTTGGTAGTTTTATTTTAGATAATTTATTTTTATGGAATATATTTAAATGAAAAAAAATTCATTTCAAAGTCACGGTAAGAAAAATATACTATAAAATATTAACTTGTTAGAAAAATTAAGAATTTTATTCTCATAAAAAAATTATATTTATTTAATAATCACTATGTTTAATCCATCATTTAGTTTATATTTATGTATGCACTTGATCTACTTAATATCAAATGTCCATTTTTTTTATAGTCTATGAATAATAGAAATATTTTTATATATCATTTTTCTATTTATGTAATTACAAAAATATAATATTTCAAAAAATTTACTTATTTAAAATTTTTAAATAATGATACTTTTTAAGTTTAGAGCTAATGAAAAACTTGATAAAATTATGTTTGTTAAGTTTTAGTGATAAGTAAGGGTGAAAATTATATAAAGCAACTTTTTTTTGTAGGATTCTGCATTTGTATCAAATTGAATTCAATAGTATTTCAACCGTGAAATTTCACTCCAATCAATCCATCAATGATCAAAATACTCATTCAACAACCAAAAAAACAAGTAAAACCAATAGTTGTTTTTTATTTTCTTTTTACTCTCTCAAGCAAAGAAAGCTAGCCTAAACTTATGGCTTGTACTAACTCCTGGAAATTCGAATACTTGGATACACTTTCAGCTAAAAGGTTGATTTCCAGACAAGCAGCGAACTGAAGAAGATTGCCAACGAGAATGGCGTGGTGGGATTATCTGTGAATGGAAGGAACGGGCAAGGGCAATCTTTGGAGCCGAAGAACGTGAGGCTCAAATGCATGGTGTCATCGCTCGCCATCGCCATTGCTCGCAAGTGGAAAGGACCAGAACGAAATCGATGAATTGATGGATGGTGGAATTTGTGGATAGTTTGCAAAATTTAGCACTAGCGCACGACTCGCCCAACCCTAAACGTCATCCCAATGCCAATAGGCTATGTCGGCGCCGCTGTTGGGGGTTTTCCATCGTGGACAGGCACAGATTCCACTTGGGGACTGGTGAGAATCAGGAGTTTTGCTGCTCCAGCTCCGTCGCTCGAGGCTTCGATTCGCGAATGTAGGCCCAGAAGGGATTGGAGGAGCCAGGCGAGCCAGCGCGGTGGCTATAGATTTCGAAACAGCGATGGGAAGTTTGAGTATATTTCCAAGGAGGAGTTCTACGAGTCCAGTGCAGCGGCGGATGGTTCTTCCGGCGTTGTTCTTCGTCTTGTCTGGGGGAAAAAATTGCTACGACAGTTTTGGAAGATCATGACCTTTGCCGGACCCGCGCTTGGGATTTGGCTTTTCAGTCCTTTGATGAGCCTCATTGACACTGCGGTGATTGGAAATTGTAGCACCCTCGAGCTAGCAGCGCTTGGTAAGCTTTGAGCCTTTTCCTTTTCACTTCTTTTCTTCTTTGCCTTACGTAGAATTTTCTAGACAGGGCCAGCAACAGTTCTTTGCGACCATGTCTCGTATTTGTTCATGTTTTTATCGGTGGCCACCTCCAATCTTGTTGCAACTTCACTGGCTCGCAATGTGAGTGTAGAGATTTTTTCATCTTTCCAGACTTTGTAGTCACTCGCTCGTTTTCATATCAGGATCTAGAAGAAGCAGCGCAGCATTTGTCTCGGCTGCTTTTGATATCGTTGAGCCTTGGCATCGGCATGCTCGTTTTGATGGAGCTGTACGCGACTCCACTTCTCCAAGGTAAGACGATTCTTTAGCTTCGATCATTCGCTTTTGAAATCAATCAGGTTTCCTAAAGTCACAGAATTCTTTCCTGGTATCTCCTGCTGCGACATACGTAAAGGTAAAGGTATTTCTACGACCTTTTACGTATGTTTCTCAGTTTGCCCTCTTATTTTTTCAGATTAGAGCTTTGTCATGGCCAGCAATGCTTGTTGGAATGGTTGCACAAAGTGCTATGTATGTGTTTCTTTCTTTTGGATTCTGTGAATAGCAGATAACTTGCACCGGAGTTTTTCCAGCCTTGGAATGAAGGATTCTTGGAGCCCTTTGAAGGTGTTAGCCATTGCCGGTGCTATTAATGCCGTCGGAGACATTCTTCTGTGCTCGTATCTAGGATGTGGAATCGCCGGCGCGGCTTGGGCAACATCCTTTGCTCAGGTAAGTCGTGCTGCCTACAAGTTCTTCACGCTCATATGAAATGTTTCCTCGGCAGTATGTTGCAGTGGTTTTGATGCTCAAGTCTTTAGTTCAAAAAGGATACAACATATTTCTTGTCTGCCTCCCGTCAAGAAAAGATTTGAAGCAGCTCCTGAAAATAGTCGTTCCTGTTTTGACAACGACCGTTTTTGAGGTTGCCTCCTCGTTCCTGTCTTGACTTGGTTGCTGAAGAAACATTCTGCAGGTGGTGTTTTATACTCTGTGTACATATCTTGCATCGACGTTGGGGCCCCTAAATCTTGCTGCGCACCAGGTAATTGTTTTTATAATTCCAGGCCCGGCCAAACAGTACTAAGACGGAAGTAAAACCATGAAACTTGCAGGTGATGATAGGAATCCAGAACTTGTGCTACGTATGGGGAGAACCTTTAGCTCAAACAGCGCAGACATTCATGCCTGCGTTACTTGATGGATCCTCTCGCGACTTGAATCAGGTACTCGCGTTTCCTAGTTTCTCGAACAGAAAACGTCACGGTTTAATCTCATGCTCAGGCCCGTGTTCTTCTCCAAATCCTTCTCATTATTGGTGCAACAGTGGGGCTTGTTGCTGGGTTCTCCGCGATCTCAATCCCGTGGCTTGTTCCGCAAGTCTTCACAAAGGACGTGGTGATAATTGAGAAAGTGAGTGTCACTGTTGATACTGATGAGAGTTCTTACACCTCGGGAAATCTTTTCAGATGCGTAGAATAAGTCTGCCGGTGCTGTGCACGCTGGTCGTGACTCCACCCATGCTTGCACTGGAAGGCACTTTACTGGTATGTTGTAGCTTTTTCGTTTTTGTCTACGGGATGCTGACCATCTCTAAACAATTCTTTTCGTTGTCCTGGCAGGCAGGACGAGATCTCAAATTCCTAGGCCTCGCAATGGTCTGCTGCTACTCTGGCGGAATAATGGTCACCCTGGTGAGCTTTCCAAATCACTCCGTTTGGAGCACACGACTCTCACGTCTCCATCAATCGTGCAGGCATTCTACCGAGCTGGGTTTGGGCTCCCCGGCTTCTGGTGGACGTTGTTCTTGATCGAACTGGTATGTCTAAACTGCTGCTTTAAACAAATCTTTGGTTTTCATGAATTCTTCCGATAGAACTTCCAGTCGAGTTTTTTATCTAACGCTTTGCTTCCAGAGCCGGACATCGGTGGCACTGATTCGATTGACTTCGTCGCAGAGCTTTCTCGCTGACAAGCGACGTCCAAGCGGCCGAGAAGTATGTTTTCTTTGCTTTTCTAGAGGTTTTCTACGAAAGGTTTTGGTCGCTATCATAGTTTCTTTGGAGCTAATGTTTGATTTTCCAGAAGCTCGAGAGGGGCTGAGTGTGTTGCCTGGAGGATGGGCTACGTATAAAGCGTGTCATGGGATATTCCGTGAATATTATTGTCCGACGGAATGTACCTCGAGCGGGCAGAATATCCTGCCGCATTTTCCGTCCGTTAAGAGGTCCCTTAAAGAACACCCGTGAAGGGTGAAAAAGAAATTTTCGGTGCTTCATTTTTTCAGTGTGGGAAGAACGCGAGGGCGCGGGCGCGCGGGGGCGCGGCATTGCCCGGATCTGTGGCAGCAGGCTGGCATCCATGGCGGCGAGGCTAGATCTGGATGGACAGGTGATAGAGCCGCTCAAGATTTGTATGATAGGAGCTGGGGGATTCATCGGCTCGCATCTGTGCGAGAAGCTCATGTGGGAGACGCAGCATTCGGTGCTGGCGATTGATGTCTACAGCGACAAAATCCAGCATTTGCTGGAGCCAGGGCAATCTTGGAGCAGCCGGATTGAGTTCCACAGGATCAATATCAAGCACGATTCGCGGCTCGAGGGGCTTATCAAGCTCGCCGACCTGGTAAGTCGCCATAGATGGGATTTCCATTGGAATGTAGCTAGAGATTTCCAGTTTTTTCTCACGGGAGATCCTTGTGTGTGTGGCCAGACTATCAATCTAGCGGCAATTTGCACACCGGCAGACTATAACACGCGGCCGCTCGACACGATCTACAGTAATTTTATTGACGCATTGCCAGTGGTAAGTCGGTATTTTTTCTTAGCGTTTCCAGAGTGTTTTTAGTTCTTTTTTAGAGCTTGATAGTTGTTTTTAGAGCTTATTTTTTGCTTTTTGGAACTTAAGTGACTGAGAACGAACAGGTTAGATATTGCTCGGACAACAACAAGCGCTTGATCCATTTTTCTACGTGCGAAGTGTATGGAAAAACGATTGGAAGCTTTTTGCCCGAGGACAGTTCCTTGAGGAAGGCATGTATTTTGTTTTTCCTGGTGATCTCTATCCAGTTTCTCTTCGTCTGACTTTACCTTTTCTTCTATCGTGTTTTTTTATTCTGTTCGTGGCGACAGGACCCGAGTTACTACGTCCTTAAGGAGGACGAGTCTCCTTGCATTTTTGGCCCGATTGAGAAGCAGCGATGGTCGTATGCTTGTGCAAAGCAGCTGATCGAGCGTGTCATCTATGGTAAGCAAAGTTTCTGTTTGAAAGAAACTAAGTTATGTGGTTGTGGTGTTTTATAATCTTTCCAGCCGAGGGAGCAGAGAACGGCCTTGAATTCACAATCGTACGTCCCTTCAACTGGATTGGGCCACGGATGGATTTTATTCCCGGGATCGATGGGCCAAGCGAAGGCGTACCAAGAGTTTTGGCTTGCTTCAGTACGGTATGCAAGCCACCACATTTCTGTGGATTCTAGCTATTGGTGTTATGTGACGAGCTACTTTATTACTTCCGTGCAGAACTTGCTCAAGAGCGAGCCTCTGAAGCTCGTCGATGGTGGACAATCACAACGGACGTTCGTCTACATCAAGGATGCCATTGACGCGGTGATGCGTATGGTGGTAAGTCTCTGTGATGTTGGAATAAATCCAGATGTAGTCTAATCACTTGGAACCATGACAGGAAAATCCACAACGAGCAAATGGTTACGTGTTCAACGTCGGCAACCCAGACAATGAAGTCACAGTTAGAGAACTTGCTTTGATGATGACCGAGGCAAGTGTTGTTTTTAAAACGTTCTTTCAGTTTCCCAGGCTTATCTTCATACTTCTCATTGGTGCCACACAGGTGTACACAAAAGTTAGCGGCAGGCCGCAGCTGGACGAGCCCACAATCGACGTGAGCTCGAAGGAGTTTTACGGGGAGGGATACGATGACAGCGACAAGCGCATTCCAGACATGACGATCATCAAGAAGCAACTGGGTAAGAGCTACGATCGTGTTCTAGCTTTTGTTCTATCAACCAATCGTGTCTAAACATCTCTCTCTCTCTTTTTGGTGTTTGATCCAGAGTGGGAACCCAAGACATCTCTGTTCGATCTCTTGGAATCGACGCTGACTTACCAGCACAAGACTTATGCCCGAGCGATGCAGCAACTATTGTCCAAGTCCCTCCCCACCGCCTAGTAAGATCTCCAAGAGCTTTCACTCTCATTCTTAGCTACATACATAAGGATACGTAACTTCGATGCTTAGATGATTTCATTCGAAGAGAGCAGGCTATGGCTTTGTCGTCGCGAAGAGGAAGAAAGAAAGAAGCAATAAAGCGTTTTTACAAAGAATAAAAACAGAGCCTGGAAGGAGGGGGTATATTCTCGCATTTGAAATGGTGCGCGGTGGATATTCCTGGCGGTGGTCGGAATCGAGCGCTTGACTTTTTGTCTCGTGCAAGAGGATCGCGATTGTGGGCTTGTACGGAACAGTGTACTTGTATTTAATTTTTCTAAACGCTCCCTCTTCGAGAGAAGGGGAAATTTCTTGCGCGCTCGATCGCGACGAGGGCGAGAAATTGGAGGTCCCCCCACCGAAATAAAAGGAGCTCCGATCGCTCCTCTCTCGATCCATCCAAGAAATTGATGACTGTGCATCTCTTCTGATCCGATGAGACCCAGTCCTTCCAGGAGAAGCTAGGGATTGATTCGTAGATCGATCGATTGAGCAAGCCACTGGAGAATCCAAGCACAACCCATTCGAGAACAGAGAACTTCCCAGCGACCCAAAAAAGAGGAAGCCAAAGAAAAAAAAAACCTTTTTTCCTCTCTTCCTCTTTTTGCCCTCCCTCCATTTGCGTTGTCTGTTTTGGCAGACTCGGTCACTGTGTATCACAGGGATGATGATGAACAGTGGAGTAGAACGATCGATCGACCGCAAGGCTGGAAAGAATCGCTAAGTGACGAGCACCCAAATGCCCGCGCTCACATTTTAGGTGTTTATTTTCCCATTTGGAGGAGGGATGAGGAAGAGGAGCCGGAGGAGGAGTGGCGATTTTGGGCGTGGCATGGGATCTCGCCAGTGGCGGCGGCGAGCTTAGATCTAGGCAGGGTCGCGGCAGGACGGAGCTAGATTGCTGCTTGTCATGGGTGTGAAGATGCATCGTTGCCATCGACAGCGCCGTCGCTATCATCATCATCGGCGTCTTGTTCTTCGCCGGAGCTAGAGGAATTTGGTTCCGGCGATGGCAGATCTTGCGAGAAATGGGGCCGTGGAGCGCGACATTGAACAGGTTCTTCCTCAAAACCTTTTTTTTCTCCTCGCTTCTTCCAAGTTCCATCCATCGTCGTGTTTTTTTTCTTTTCTTCTTCTCCTTCTTCCTTCCTCTCTTTTCTTTGGC